AATAGCAACTCTAGGACTCAGGCTTAAGGCCTGGTCTCCTGCATATGACAAGAACTGAGACGGCATCTGAAGTCTCCCAAGACAGAAGTTAACAATATGTCTATGTGGCCGGAGTGTGAGGCCAAAACAGACCTGCAATGTTATCCTGGGCTGGGTGCAGGTGTTGGAGGTTGCTGAATCTAGAAGCCATTTGTCCTCTGCCAGGCCAAGGAGCTCAACAGCTGAAAATATCTGTGGCTCTTGTGTGGTTGACCCTCCGTGGCTGGGTACAGAGGACAAGCCTGCATGGGAGCATTTTGACTTCCAAAAGCCAGTCTGCCAGCAGGCAGTGTGTGGCTTGTTGAGGCAGCAGTGGGACCAGGGTAACCTTTGGCTGCATTTGAAATAGCTACTTGGTGGAGTTGACTTTAGGGTATACCACTGTGGGATGAGGCATTGTAGACCTCTTGTTTTCTGTGCGGAAATGCCAAGAGCCTCAGAGCAGCAGCCAAGGTCAGGAGTATAATTTTTGCTGTAGATGAGCCCACCAGAAAGGTTCCTCTTATTATTTTTATCAACTCCTGTATGGTGATTCAGGGACCATCCTCAGCTATTTAATTAAGTAAGCAGTGTGACCATGTCTGCATCTGTAGGATTATAAATATATTTTTGAAAATGTTAAAGGACTTGATCATCTATGAGATGACTGACTATTAACTTGCATTTGTTAACCATTAAATATTAGGACTTTAGTCCCTGTTAAGTTGGAGCCTTAAAAGTCATAAATATAGTCCATTAAAGTGTGAGCATAACAGTTTTCTGTCTGATTTATTATGTAAAAAACTTCATAGCTTTTAAAATCTTAAGGCTACACTATATATTAATAATATTACCATTTTTAGAAAACAAGGCCAAGAATATTTTAACCTTTTTGATAGTGAATATATAGCATAAATAATCCCTCTAAATTAATAGAGCTTAATTTGGAGTATTGGTAAAACTTGTATGTAGTAACCCCTGAGTTATGAGTTTTAAAACCAACAATATAGTAGAACAGTATAAAGCAATTTTAAAATTACACTTGTGTTTATTATAGCAAACCTATTAGCCAGAAAGCCTAGTGGTGAATCTGGATCATAGGCAGCTCATGGCAGGAGAAACAGCATTTATTAATTAAGAAATTGATAAAGACATAGGCAGTTAGACATACATTTTAAATTAGCTTAATTTGAATAGACCTTTATAACTGAAATTTTAGCATTATATAAAAATTATTTTGAACCAGGGTTGACTCATATATATTGTAAAATGTAACTATGAATTTTTATAAAAACCCATGCCAATTTAAAATGAGACTTATTGCTGCCCTAATCTAAAAAGAGATAATCAGAATTAGTTATGATTAAAATTGTTCATACCATGTGGTCACCTTAAGGTTTACAGTTTAATTTTAAGATTTTTTTTAAGAGTATAAAAAGAAACCAGAGAATATATTTAGTGAGATGGCAGGCAGACAGAAACAGACAAGAAAAGAAAAATAGGGTGTTCTTTACTTCATGGATCGCTCTTAGTGTTACTGGATATTACTGGATATTAAACATTTGAGTAGGGCAAATATAGGTGTAGAAGCCAGAGATCTCCCTTAAGAGGAGAGAATATGAGGAAGCTGTTACTGTGAAATGGAAATGGACCATGTGGCTGGTGGTTTGTCAACCAAATAGCACAGAAGGTCATGTGCTTAGCCCTGCTAAACCCAAGAACCTCGGTGCCTGGTACCAGGGCTTTACCAGCAGTAAGGCCGAGTTCTGGTAGAGGAAATCTCATCCACGAGAAAGGATAAGGGTAGATAAAATGGAGGTAGGAAGGGGTGCAGTGGCCTTTAAGGGTCTATAAGAGACTGCAGTTTTGCAGCTCTGAAAAACAATGGGACAGAAACAAAGTAGTAAAAGCAGCTGGCAGTAGCGGAAACCATAGCATTGTTTTTGTTTTTATAGCCAAGATGGCTGCCAATCATGTGACTGCCCTTGATTGCCCTAAGTTAAAATGGCAGTGAAAACACGTTTGCCCTTAGTGGAGATGGCAGTGAAACCGTGGCTCCACCCTCCTTATCCCAAAACCAAAATGGTGGCTAGCCATGTGTGGTGTGTGGCCATAGTGGCATTGTGAGACCAGGTGCTTGCTGGTGGGATGGCTTTCTTAGCCCGGTTCAAAACTCTCTGTGTGCGAATGGCATGGCTGAACGGAAGTCTGTGCAACTGAAAACCATCCTCTGCAAGCCAGCCTCTCTAGGCAGGCATTCTATGGGAGATTTAAAACTTTGCCCATGGGGCCTGAGGCAACAGTGCAATCTAAAGCCATCTCTGTGTGAGCAGGGTCCCCAGCAATTGTTTACCTAACAGCAATAGTTTAGAAGTAGGCTATGTCTGTGTACAAAATGGCAGTTTCAGCATCTGGCATGAGTGTTTGTTTCCCCAGGCTGATTCTGGCACAGCATGAGTGTCTGCCTTATCCTGGGTGCTCAGAACATATGGTAGGATGACAAGTCTGAGTGGACTTGAGCAGAGGGACAGGTGTGTGCAGGGCAGTTGAGAGAAAGTGTAGGTTTTAAGCATATATGGTTGAGTCGTGGTTGGGGATAGGTAGAGCAGAAGAAAAATCTGTTTCAGGCATTGTGGTCCAATTAAGGGTTTGTGGTATGACCAGACCAGGTGCTACCAGGAGAGTCCTTACCGGCTCAATGCACCGGTGTTAGGAACAATGAAATAATGATGGGCACAACAGATTTTACATGAAAGTGGTTATTAGATGGAGATAAAAAAAAGAGAGAGAGAAGAAGAGACCAAGACATGATAGGGGGAAGGATGGGGGATGCCCTGACAGAGAAAGGGGAGAGAGCAGAAAAGAGAGAGAGAGAAAAAGGGCAAGAGGGCAAGAGAGTGACAAAGTGGCAGGTTGATCTTTTTAATGAGCAACTTAACCACGCCTACCAGGTGTGGCTACATGGCAGGAGACACATGATTACATCATAGGTTGCCACACAACCCAGAAGCAGGCTGCCTAAATACCACCAGTCCATGGGTAGTTGTGTCTGGGGTGTCCTGTGTTCTCTTTGCCAACATTGTCTGACTTAGCTCTCTGTTGACCTTGGCCATTTCCTCTCTGTAAATAGTGTATATGACACTTTACTTCTTAATAAACTTGATTGGTATAAGTCATGAGCTTATGCAGTACTTCCTGGTGCCAGCTTTTGCCTTTGTCTTATTTCCTGTGTTCTTTATTTCTCATCCCCAGCCCTCTCACTCAACTCCTCACCATTCAAGGCCCTTATTCTTTTTGTTTTTGATCAATATTGTATTTAAAAAATATTAATAAATAAAACTGATATTGCATTTTTGAGTTTGTTGTATACTCCAGTACACACTACTTCATAGGCCTTTTGCAATCTTACAAGTTTATGTAGCTTGTAAACAACGAAGCACAGGTTTCTTAATCCTGTCTCCTGTATCATGATGTCTCCTGTATCTCATACTGTTTGCTGTCTGGCGGAGCCTGAAAACAGGCCTGTTCCTAACACCATTCACTGAAGCTTAAAACAAAACACTAAAAGGATACTTTTCCCTTTGAGAATTTTTTATATTTCCATGTAAGGGCTCTCTGTCCTACAAGAGCCCTGTTATTATAGAATGAAATAAAGAGATTAACTGAAAATGATAATGATCTCCATTCATGTATGACAAAGCAAGAGTTGGGGACATGTTGTCTTCATTACAGCAGCCCTGGAACTCTCTTAAGGCGATTCCCAGTATTAAAAATCAAACTCAAGGACGAGGATAGAATTCCCTGGGTTTGTTCTCCAGCAACACACCCCCTCAAACACTCGCTAAGATTTAAGTTTGCTATAACATATAATAGGCATGAAAAAGATAGTTTACAAAAAATCCTTTTCTTTTAATTTTTGGTAATTGTAGTTCTTAAAATTTTTTATTTAATTAAAATACAATTACATTTCCCCTCTTTTTAGTACCTCATGTGCCCCTTTTCAAATCAACGCCCTCTTATTCTATGTATACACATATCTACATATATATATATATATATGCAATTGCTGAGTCCACTTAGTGTTGCTTGTATGTATACTTGTTAGAACTAACTATTGCTCAGATCTTGTTTAAACTGTCTTATTTTTGAGATTCCATGGTCATAGAAACTTGTCCTATCTAGACGACAATCTTGCAGCTGACTTTCTGTTCCTCTTGCTCTTACAATCTTTTCCCTCGCCCTTCTGCTATGTTCCCTGAGCTCAGATGTATCGGTTGTGGGAGATCCCAAAGTCAATTGTTCTCTGCATTTTCATTAATTGTGGTTTCTGTTTCTTAGTCTGCTCTGAAAGGCAACGTCTTGGACGAAAGGTGAGGACTAGACTTATCTGTGCCCCTGAGCCGGGTAGACAAACTAGGGATGTTCTAATACTTCACTTAATAACGGGGTGATCACTTTAAGGGGGATTTCATTTACTAATGAGAACATGCAAATAGTGGCTATTCTGTAAATTTTATGATGGTGGTGTGTACCTCACCTATTTAGGCAGATTGTTTTCTGTTATTCTGAAAGGAAGCAAACCTTGTTTTCGCTTTGTCCTTTGACCCACGGGTCACTGAAACACAAATCAACTTCTTTGTCATTCGTAAGCTGTCTTCCTCACCTGACAATTCTGATATCAGAACTTGATCAGATACTGACAACATTCAGATTCCACCTTGAGGCTGGGGAAAAGCGGAAGCCGGCGGACCACCGGGTCCCGCCCTCGGCGACGTCACCACGCCCTACGCGAGATCGCTCGGCGCGGCCCGCAAAACCCAGCCCAGACCCTAGCTGTCCTTCCGGAACTCCAGACAGGCTGCCGTCACCCTCCAGCCAATCCCGAGCGGCCGTGGGCAGGCCGCGACCCGAGGGGCAAGCCTTCCAGGCACGACGAGTCGAACTTCGACGCAGGAATCAGGCTGTTTCTTAGCGGGCGGAGCCAAGTCCAGGCCGTCTCACCTAGACTGCGCGTGCGCCCGCCCGGCAGCCGGCGGCCGCGGTCTCCGCTGCAGCCTGCCGCCAGGATATCGCGCTGATGCACGGGCAGGAGCGCGGGCCACGATGACAGATTACGGCGAGGAGCAACGCAACGAGTTGGAGGCTCTGGAGTCCATCTACCCCGACTCCTTCACAGGTGATTTTGACGGCCGCCCTCCGCTGGGGCGGAGGCCGGGTCCGCGGGCCCCTCCGTCGCATTCTCCAGTCAGTTTCCAGCACCCCGCTGCTCCCTTTTCCACTGTCCTCAGAACTGAAGGGCCGGGTGGCCGGGCGCAGGCCCTGGGATCGATCTCGAGCACGTTGGTTTCGCGTAACCGCAGCCACCGGAGATTCACTGAAGCACGCGAAGAGAAACTGGCAGTGCGACGAGTTTCTCCAGAGCCTTGGAGTGCCTCCCCCAACCCCCATTTCAATCTCTTCTGAAGTACCAGCTGTTTTACCGGCGGTGATGGTTGAATGCTGGGTTTGGAGAGCTGCACACTTGGGAGTGTCTTTATTTTCTTTAACTGTGAGAGTGATGGGGCATTCTTGCAGAATGCACCATGAACGATGCGGCCGCTGAGGCTCTTAGATGTCGTCTAGGTTGTGGAGGCTCAGGGAAGGCCAGTGCTCTACGTTCTGGGTCTTCAGGCCAGAGGTCCCCGTTTCTTACCTGTTCTTTCACCCTGCAGACTTGGGTTTGGAATCCATCCTCAGCAGAGAATGAAGGAAGAGCAGATTGGGGGATAAGGGAAAAACATTCATGACAAATTTATTAGGGGAATTTTCCGTGTGAGTCTGTTTTCGTGGATAATCTATCTATGGCTTTCCTCAGACTTGAGAAGCACTCAAGGTAAAGCCAGTATGAACGCGTAGGCTCCCAAATGGCGGGCTTTATATTCCACAGCCTCTACGTGGAATCTGAATTTTGTCAGCATCTGATTGTCTGGATTAAGAGCCTAAGAGATACTGCTTTAACCTCTAAACTCCAAACCCTCCCTCTCATTTTTCAGCTTACTTTTTTTTTTTATCCCGTTGGCTTCACTTTTTGACCAACTGCTTGCAATGGTAGCAAATTTTGTTTTGCTTTGCCAACAGGCAGCTATCGCTCATCTGCCCTTATGTAGCTCCAGTCCTGTTCATGTTCTGCCTCAGCAGCCAGACAGCTGTGCTGATGATGTTAAGGGGATGAGTGAAGAGGGGTTTGAGAATGTCATTACCTGGCTCCCTTCTCTATTCTTGCTTATATGTCTATGTCAAACTAAGATAGATTACTGGTGTCAATTGTCTGATAGTCTTAACCATGATGTTAGACCATTTTAGTACTTTAGAAACATTATAGGCATGTATCCTTTGTAGGCAGAAGCAAAAATACATGAGCCAATATTCTTAACGTGTCTTTGATGTTAGATTATCCTTTGCTAAAACTGTGCGTGTGTGTCTAACAATAGTGATATATTTTAAGCCTTAAAGCAGAATTTTGTCAAATTTTACTAGGTCCCAGTAGCAGTAATGTATGAAATTCTTGTTAGATGCACAAGTGCTCGGGGAGCCCGAGTCAAGGTATCAAATGTTAATTTAGGACTATTTTGATGCATCCAACTATTCCAAGTTATCAGTTGAATCTGCTTGCAATACCTGTGAGCATCCATACACATTTTGCAGTAAGTAAAGCACCCTGATTTATAAAGTTCTTAGGGATTTTGCATTTTGCTTTTGATCATTTTCTTATGAAAGCTTTTAGGGAAAAGGTAGGACTCTGAAGTAAAATATTTCTGTTTGATCTCTGAAGTTGTAAGGCTTTCTAAGGTTTGCAGTTTTGTTGCCTGTTGTATTTATGTTTCCATGCTTACATTCAGGTTTAGGAAAGTTCCCTTGTGTTGGTTTACCAAGAGTTGGTTTGCCAATTACATTACTTTGCAGTTTTTTCACTTCATTTTGAATCCCATTTAATAATGGGTTTGGCAATCCATCTGATTGCTCCATCTGATGAAGGAATTGAATCTCCTACCCCACCCCACCCTACCGTCTCTTTAATAGATACTTATGAACTAGGAAAGAAGCATTTATTAAGTGTACCTGATCCTGTATGAGATCAAAAAGGTGCACTTCTGGCCCACAGACCTAGCTGAACCTTAGAATTGCTGCTATTCTATTTGTGATGATGTTTTGGGCCATTGTTGCGTTTGTTGTGGTTTATCATCGTACCACAGTGTCTTCTTTTTGCCTATTCTGAAGTTTGATTGCACTTTGACTCACCCTCCTAATAACTTGCCTTTCAGAGTATAAATGGACTCACCTGATACTGTTCTCCATCAGTAGTGCTTCACTTGACAAGGATCTGCTAAGGCAGTAGGATTTAGTTATTTTTATTTCCATTTCTGCATTAGAGTATCTGACTGAGGGGAGGTTTTTTGAGAATCAGTGTTTGACCTTCAGTTAACAAAACCAAGTTTCCTTAATTCTGTCTGCTTTACCAAGAGGACATATCCTGTATTTGCTTTGTCAGTCCTCTAAGTAGCAGTCATTGGCACTCAATAGTTATGATGATAGCATAGAGGAAGAGTAGAGATCATATTGTGAAAGCAGATTTTTTTTTTTTTTTTTTTGAGAACTACCTTCTGAAAGGTTAGATACTTCCTAACAAGGGACCTATTTAAACGAGCTACGTTTGTATAGTCTGTTGCCAAAGTGGTTAGACTTCACTCCTTTATCTGTTTTTAACAAAATTCTTAATGACACACACACACACACACACAAAACTTTAAGAGTATTGTGAGCTAAATTTGGCACCTGTGGATTATCCTAGTCCACCGCAATGCAATTGAACAAGCAGTGCATTAGAATGGGATTCCTCTGTTGTCAGAACGCAGTAATCCACCAAGTGTGGTGCTACATGCCTATAATCCAAGCACTTGTAAACCTGAGCCAGTAGGATTGAAAATTCCAGGTCCGTCTGGGTTATGTGGTGAAAGCCCATCTTGAAGAATACAAGGGAGTAATTTTCCCATCCTTACATTGGCATTGGCATTATCCTCTCCTAAGTTTGTTTTTGGTTTTGGTTTTTTAATTTTTTTAATTTTTTCTTTTTTTTGAGACATGGTTTCTCTGTCCTGGAACTCACTCTGTAGATCAGGCTGGCCTTGACCTTTTAGAGATTTGAGTGCTCCTGCTTCAAAGTGGTGGGATTAATGGTGTATACCTCCACTGCCAGCTTAGATCACACCAGGTTTTAAAAGTAAAGTAAAAGTTTACCTTTATTGTGCATGAACATTTCATGGCAGCGCCCATTCAGGGAAGTTTCTTCAGGAAGGGGCTTCTGACTTTAGTTCTTTGTCATTCTAAGGTGTGGTCTCACTCTCCTGGTTAAGTAGCAGTAGGATAGATAAAGGATTGAAGGTGGGGATGGGGTGCTAGTAGGTTTTTAAAGGAGATTTATTGGTACCTGTCAGAAGGCATATCTGTCTTCATTTGTTTGTAAGAACTTGTCCCACCATACAGGGTTTTCTTGCATTTCTTTTTCTTAACTGTACCCATTCTTCTTTACCTCTCCCTCTTTACAGTGGGAGCATGGTGTGGTGTCCTCTCCAGCCTGAATTTCAAGTGTTTGATGGGAAGTAGTGTAAATGTACATACTCTGTAACATAAGCATAAGATACTCCAATTTAGAAATACGCCGCTTTAGTTGCTGATCCTTCTGTTAATGGGCTGTACTTGTTCTTTGTCTTCATCAGCTACTAACTGATTGTTTCCTACATATGGACATCAGCACACCATGAGAATGCCAGGGAGATTACTGTTCCAGCTTTGTGGTCCAATGGTCTTTTCCTACCCATGCCCTTATAGGCTTCTTGTGGTTTCTCATGGATTCGTATTTCTACTTCTCTTGCTCCATCTTTCCTCCCTGTTCTGACTTGTCATATTAGGCTGTAAACATTGTTCTTGTTAACCACTCTGTGTCCTGGAGGCATCTTCATTTTCCAAGTATTTATTAGCTACATAGTAAAGAACTCAGTCTACTAGGGAAGTAGGCAATAGACATTCAAGGAGAGGGCATAGGCCAAGTTGTTTGGGAAAACTGAGAGATGATGAATTAAGGGGAACAGCCTTTCAGAGGGACATGGCACTATGGAAGCAGGACTCTGCAAGGAGTACAGCATTGCTACAACATAAAGTAAGACGTGGGGAGTCAAGGGAATGAGAGGCACTAACAAGTGGTCAGGAACCAGATGACCCAGGGGCTTCTAAGGGGTAGATATGAGCTAATGTGTCAGCAGGTCCTCCATGCACAAACTGTACAGTGGATATTACAGACACCGCTGTATCAAACCTAGTGCTTTCACTAGGTTTTCTAGTGTTTGGGCTGTATAGCCCCATCTCTTTCTATAAGTGATCTTAACTCACTGAAGACAAATAGAGAACTGCTTTTAGCTTTTGTTGTTTGTCTCCTCCCCCTCCCCCATTGACAGGGCTTCACATAGCTCAGGCTAGCCTCCAGTGCTTTATATAGCTGAGGATATCCTTAAATTCCTGACTGTCCTACCTCCACCTCCTAAATATAGGCATGTGCCAGCAGACCTGTCCTTAACTCCTTATAAAAGCAGGCAATGATGTGATAAAACCTCTGTATTGGAAAGTGGAGCAGAGATGATGCTGGGGCTGGAGTGGGATAGTGAATCTGTATCCTGAGATTCTTCCTTTGTAATTGTATGGATTTGTCTGATGCTTCTATTTTGTTACTATCTTCTGTGGCTGTTGCTTTCAATCTCTGGCATTTTTTTTCCCTCACTTTTTTTCTTCAAATTAAAGATTCCTTAAAAAGCTGCTGTTGTCATTTATCTGTCATCGTTTTTCTAATGATCTCATTAACTAATTCTCATAATCTCCTTCCTCTGATAGCTTCAGCCATTGCCAGAAGATCCAAACTGAATTTAGGCCTTGTTTGGTCTCCTTTGTGCTCATTTCTGATTGCCTCTTCCTCACCTCAATCAGTTTCCCTCTGTTTAAAATATATTATATCTGATTTCTTCTGTACTCTTACTTGGTTTAGTGGCACCAAATTTGCAGCTGCAAACTCAACCTGTCATCACCATCATAATTTCCTGCTATTCTCATGGTTCCCATCCTAGTTGAGAACCTCATTATCCTTGCCTGATTGATTGTAGAGGTTGCCTAGTTTCTTCTGCCTCCCATTCTGTGCACTGTTGCTAGATTCCTGTGTGTAGAGATGCAGTTTCAGCTGCTGAAAATGGCACTGTCTAGGATTACTCTGTCAGTCATACTTCCATTAGTCCACTCAAATGTGTCCATCGAACAGAAAACTTAATTCTTTTCAGTGTTTCTTAGCTTCTCCACCATTGTGCTCTGCCACAGTACCCTCACATATGTCCAGTTTCTTCTCTCTCCTTACTAATGTGCAATTCATGGCTTTCAGCCTCATTCAAATAACATTCCTGAAGTTTATCAGCAGGAAATACTTTTCCTTTTCTTTTAAAGTGAAGTCCTGGGTGGTTTGTACAGTGCTGCCACTTACAGTTGAAGAACTGTATGTGAAACTGTAGTTTATGTGAAAGCTCCGTGGCTCAGTGTTGACCTCTATAGCATTGAATGAATATGTATTTAACTGTTTCTGAGATGCATGACTTATATTTGAAGATGATTAGAATAAGAACTTATGTTATCATAGTTTAATTGGCATTTTTTTAGTGGCATATAAGATAAATTAACATCTTAAATTTGGTGGACTGTAGATAAGACTATAAAACCATGGTCTTGGTATTGGATTTAAGGGATTTTTATTTAACTGTATAGCACAACATAAGTACAGTGTGGTGCTCAGTCAATAGGGCTGTGTTTGTTAGAATAATAGCCTCCTGGCTGACTTGTTGTTTGGTAGTCTCTGGGTTAAAGCTTTTATTTCTGTGGTCACAGTATTTTCATTTCATGATATGAAAAAGAACTCCATCTAATGTATTGTAATAAACACTATCAGTAAGAACAACCTATCTGGGAGCTTATAGCAAGCTTTCAGTGCCTTTTCAGCATGGGATGTGTTGTCTTAGACTGTGATGTACAATTTGAGTTCAGGGAGAGTGCTACATCTCTTGGGCAAACTGCTTTTGAGTCATTATAGATGTCCATCCCTTTGTTTGAAACCTGAGTCAAAGGCCTCTGTCTTAAAAACATTACTGATACCATGTGTCTGAGGTGGCTTCAGGAAGTGGCTGGGCACTTTATAGCCATGCAGTTTCCTTGGTGGCTTGAGTGCTATGTGCTCTTCCAGAGTTCACACAGCTGCTGCCAACCATGAGTGGCCAGTGCTTCCTACGCCTGGAATAAAGCTTAGGCTCTGTTAGCCACTCCTTCAGCTACAAGCTTTCTGCTTTACTCCTCACTTGATTTTTAATATAACTTTCCTTTGCTATTTTTTCATTTTCATTAAGCCAGTATTTGCTGACTTTCCAGAACCAGCAGTGCCCTGTTTTGGGGTTTCTCACAGGGCTTTCCAGTACTCTGGTGTGGGAGTAGATGATCAACAGATGTTATTAGACATGCTCTAAAATGGTCTCGGAAGCTTCTTTATTTATGTAAATGTTACAGGGCTTGATTAGTGAGTAAGTTTATGTTCAGATTCAGAGCTGATTTCTTTATAATTGTGTGAAAATGACCCAGTCTTGTGGAAAGAGTGGATTCAACTCCATGTAAACATGTAGAAAATAACAAGGTAATATAACCTGCCATAACATGAACATTAGTGGGTAGTGGTAGGTGAAAAAAATAACGTGTTTTTTTTTTGTTTGTTTGTTTTTGTTTTTTGTTTTAGTTATGTTTTGTTTTTTAATCATTCTATTTGGGAGGTTTTTTTTTTGGAATACAGTTGTTCATATACTGGCAGATTTTGGAATAAAGTATAAATGGCTTAATATTTAATTGAGAGTTATTTACTAAAGGGACTTTGCAGATTAAGATTATTCTTGATTGAAATAGTGGGTGTATCGTTTCAGTGTTCTGTTTGTGTTGGTTGACATGGAAATACAAATAAATTAAGAGTTTCTAGTGCTGAGCAGCAATACTCACTGGAATGTCTACCTTAGGAAGCATCTCAAAAACTGCTGTATGTATTTTCTTTCAGTGTTATCAGAAAACCCACCCAGCTTTACTATTACTGTGACATCGGAGGCTGAAGAAAATGATGAAAGTAAGTATGATGAAATTACTAGTGATTTTTCTAGGCTCCTTAGGAATTTTGCTCCTTCTGCATTTTTTTTTTTTTTTTTTTTTTTTTTGGGTAGGGCATTGCAGGTATGGATTTACTGTTACTATGCATGACTTGTGTTTGTAGCCCTTGTTTACTCTGGGCATAATTCCTACGAACAGAGGCAGTCCAGGCTCTGTAGTCTGGCACAGTATTCATGGTATTTAAAAGTGAATCGGATAGGTTCACAAGATAGCAGATGAAGGGAAGGTAGAGACTTTATTTAGTTCAAAGAATTTGTCACGTGATTACTGTTTTTCGATTTCTGCTATCTTTCTGGAAGAATAGCTTATTTATTGACAATTTGTTGTTACAAACAGGCTGAATGTACAGCTATCTGCTTATTGCCCCATCCTCCCCAAACAGAACAGCTTTAAAACTAGTAAATTAAATAAATTAAATTTAACGGTAATATAAAGGTTATCTATTTTTGGTCTAAGTCAGTTAATATAGTAATTAAATATTATGGATAAGTAGATGATCTCAAGCATGTTTTTCTCAGGTGGCAATGCAAGTTCTTTGAGAAGGAATCAGTCAGTTTTAATGGTGTCACCTGAAAACTGCTAGTTTCTTAATGAAAACTGTTTCACACTGAGATATTTTGAAATCTCAATGAAAAGGATGTAAAATACAGTTACTGTTCCTGTACTTTTATAATAAGTAGCTATAAATTTTCCAATACCTTAAAGTTCCAAGTAAATACTGCTCTAAGTCCCCTGAGCTCTTCAGCATGGTTGGCTATGTGGAACCAGTGTGTATTCAGAATGGCATGGCGCTGCTCGTTGAGACAGAATTTAATTTTCTTATTAAAGTTTCTGGAGATTATTCCTATATTCTGAACAGTACCTTTATTGGGGGATAATAGCACTCTTGTAATAACAGCTGTGTGCAACTCATTCTTTATTTGAGAAATAAACTGTGTTTGAAACAATGCCTAGATTGTGCTGGTTTTGTCCCCGTACTACATTTTAACAAACCGATTAGTAAAAAAGACAAAGGGAATTGATATATAGTTTCTAGTTTATAAATTATTATTTGTCACCTAGTCTCACTAGTACTTAAAGCAAGTTAAAACGAAGATATCTCATCTCATCTCATCTCATCTCATCTCATCTCATCTCATCTCATCTCATCTCATCTCATCTCATCTCATCTCACCCCACCCAGTTGTGAATTTAGATTAGTACAGGAGAGATGTTAGATCATGGAGCAGGAATGTAAGAAAATAATCTTCGTGTACTTCTACTTATGGGATATTATTGTAAGGAAAGTATGTCAGCACAAGGAAATGGTACATGGGCTATTATAATAATCATAGTTCTGTCTTAACGAGTAAGTGGTGACATACTTAGGGAAGTTTGCTTATTTTTGATATTGAAGGGATGTTGTTTTTATTTTTTAAAGATTTTTATTTTATGTGCATGAGTGTTACTCTGCTTGTATGTAAGTGTACATGCCTGCTTCCTGCAGAGGTTAGAAGAAGGCGTCGGATCTTCCTTTGGAAGAGTAGCTGGAGGTCTTAACTGCTAAGCTACAGCTACAGGGTCTCTGCAGCCTTTGGTGTGTTTGCATGTGTGCATGTAATTGTATGGTTGCCATGTGTGGAGGTCAGAGGGCAATTGTAGGCGTTGTGCTTTGCTTTTGCCTGGTTTGCGGTTTTGTCCTATGTCTGCCTCCTATCTTATCACTGGAATTCCATGTGTGCTATATTTCACCCAGATTTTTTGTGGCAAGTGCTTTACTCATGGACTATCTCTAGCCTTTCAGTCGTATTTTGAATTGGTAAATAACTGTATACATAGTATAGTGTTCTGATTTTGTAAGTTTATGAATATAGTGAAATGATTCAATTATATGCATAGCCTCATAGCTATCATTGCTTTTCTATATTGAATACCTGGCATTGCTTATAGAAGAAGTGGTAAGTTTTTCTTTTTTAAAGCTTATGCTTTTTAGCAGGTGTGGTAATACATATTTATAATCCGAGCATTTAGCCTCTCAAAACTGCCCAGTGCAAAAACATGTCATCTAGCTACCCAGTTAGCAACATCCTGCTGCCATTGTGACTATTTGAGTATGAATTCCAGGATATAGCTATGTCCTCTGCAGTCAGGAACTTCCTCTAATAAAGGCTCAATGTGAAACTATGGCAATAATTTTTCTAGTATTTTTAATTAGGTTTTTGTTTATTTAGCCAGTATTTTTTAAAAATGTTTTTTGTCTGTCTTTCTGTATAGTAAAATGCTACTTCAAATCATCTCTTTGAGCTTGTTTTTTATATTATTAATTCTGTTATATTTTTCACTGATATTATAATTGATTTAATAAAAATGTTGATTTTTTATACTTTTAATATATTCATATTAAACTTTTATTTTGTGTCTTAGCTGTCCAGACTACCCTCAAGTTTACATATAGTGAAAAATACCCCGATGAGGCTCCACTTTATGAAATATTCTCCCAGGAAAATCTGGAACATAATGATGTCTCAGACATTTTAAAATTACTGGAATTGCAGGTAAGGAAACGCTTTTGCTTTCTAGTAGCATATTTTGTTGGCCTTTATCAAATGTTGGCTAGAAAATGTTTTTAAATATATGTAAACAGTACATTGACCAATCAGAATTCATGATACATAACTACAAAGCATCATTTAAAAAGGGACAAGATTTTTATTCTTTGAGAATTTCATACATGAATATAATGTTCCCCTGAGACCGTCCTTCAACACAACTTTCCTCACCACCATATCCTATTCTTTCTTTTTTGTTGTCGTAAAGATTTTGATTTATTTTTAATTGTGTGTGTGTGTGTCTAGGTGGGTATGTGCAGGTGAGTGCAGGTGCTCTCAGGGGTTTTGAGTCCTCCTGAAGTTTGAGTTATAGGCAGCTGTGACAGTCTGATGTAGGGTCTGGGAACAGTTGTTTGGTCTTCTGAAAGAGCACTTTGTGCTTTCTTAACCCCACTGAGCTGTGTCTTCAGCTCTTCCTTTAAATAGCTCACGAAGACAAATTAGTGCTACCAGTATGCAGTTGGCTAGGGGCCATTCACAGGAGCATGTGCAACCCACCGTTGGCCGCACCCCAAAGAAAAATGACTTCTTCCCATAGAAACTCTCAGCTCCTCCTAGGTCCTCAGCTCAGTGTGGAGCCATGTACCCTCCCCCTTCAATGCTGGAATTTTGGCAGGTTTGAGCTAGTGCAGGTTTTGTGTAGGTCTCTACAACTATCATAAGATCATGAGTGCAATGGCTATGTCATGTTCAGAAGGCAAAGAACACCTCTCTATCCTCTGGATCTTACAGTCTTTCCACACACTCTTCCATGATGTTCCCTGAACTTGGGGGATAGAATAGGCTGATATACATGTCTCATTTAGGGATGAGTAGTCAGCAGTCATTTATTTTCCACTCTTTGGGCAGTTATGATCTCTCCAATGTTGGGAACAGCACTAATCTATTAATATAAACATAAATTCTCAGAAGGCTATTTGACCATACAACCTTTACAAAAGAGTAATAATAGGTTCCCTGTTAGGATCTATGACTTCCCCTGGTCATGGGTTTTTGACCATGTTTACAGTGCAACACTGTGAGTAGGTATTTGTACTATGTGTATACCTGGGGCCCATGAAAACCAGAAGAGGGCATTGGAACCCCTGGAGAAATAGCTACATTAAATGATATCACAGATCAAATGGACTTAAAGGATATCTACATAATACTCCATCCAAACACTGAAGAATGCACATTTTTTTTTTTTTTCAGCAGCCTGTGGAGATTTCTCTAAAGCAGATTATCAGTACACAGACTTAAGTCTCAAAAAATACGGGGAAAGTGAAATAATTCCAGTACGAGAAACTCTAGAGCACACAAATGCATAGAGATTCAACAGTACACTATTGAATAATTAATAGGTCCTTGAAGAACTCAAGGGGGAAATAAAAACATTCCTAGAATAAAATCAAATTGAAAACACATACCAGAACCTATGGAATATAAGGAAAACAGTCCTAAGAAGGAAGATTATAGTTTTATCTACGATAAGAAATAAGCTAAAAAGCTGGTCGTGGTAATACATGGCTGTAATCCCAGCACTCAGAGAGACAGAGGGAGGCAGATCTCTGAGATTGAGGCCAGCCTGGTCTACAAAGTGAGTCTAGGACAGCCAAGGCTTCAAAGAGAAGTCCTGTCTTGAAAAACCGAAAAAACGAAAACAAAAACCAAACCAAAACAAACAAACAAAAAAAACCCAAACCAAAACCAGAGAGAGAGAGAGAGAGAGAGTGCAACTTAACTTAAAAGATAACTCAAAGCTATAGAAAATGAAGAACCCAAACGCCAAACCAGTGGAATGAAAAATATCATTACATGTAGGGGTAAAATGAATGAAATGGAAATAAAAAATACAAAGAATCAAAAACCAATAGTTGGATCTTTGCAAAGTTAAACAAGATAGACACTTAGCCAGACTTAGCAACAGAAAGAGGAAAGGGGCTGGCTCAGCAATTAAGAGCACTTGCTGCCCTTGCAGAGGACCTGGGTTTAGTTGCCAGCACCTAAATGGCAGTTACAACTCTCTTTGGGGTGTTGAAGTCATCCACTCTGCTATGGTGGAGATGTTACATCTATGTCCTACTGATGTTCTTAAAATCATTAAGAAGTGACTCTTCTTTATTTTCCACACTAGTTTATGGTTTGAAGTCTATATTGCCAGATTTTAGAACAACTACCTGCTTGTTTCCTAGGTGTGTGTTCTAGTCATTAAAGACAAGGGCACATGTAGCTCAGGGTAGCCTCAAACTCCCTATGTCGCCAAGAATTTCTTTTGCCTCCATCTCACAAGGCTATTACTTCTGGCTCTATACTCAAATTTTAAATGTCCACTTATCCAGCTATCTGAATGAGGAATTATGTTATAAACATGGGATTTAATTATTATACTAAGGTTGTATCTTTGGTCAGTTTTTACTTTTCTGAGAAATTTGTTTGTCTCCACCTCTGTTTGCTTTACACAGGCTGAGGAGAATCTTGGCATGGTGATGATCTTCACCCTTGTGACAGCTGTTCAGGAAAAGTTAAATGAAATAGTAGATCAGATAAAAACCAGAAGAGAGGAAGAAAAAAAACAGAAAGAAAAGGAAGCAGAAGAAGCAGAAAAGGTGTACTTGAAAACCTTGTTTTTCATTTTCTTCACATCGCTTTATTGGCTTATTTGATGTTTAGTTTTGATTTTTTTTCTGATAATTTTAGTAACTTTTGAAAATCATAATAGTGAAACTAAAATGTAAATTTTACTATGAGTGAAATTTTGGTTGATGACATACTGTAACAGGTGACAGACTGATAAAACTCACTCATGTGAGATCAGGAAATGTAAATCATTTCAGCCAGAGTGCAGAACTGAGAGCTGTCAACCCTTATCACAGTGGTCTAACAGTTCCTAAGTGTAAAGAGACCAACTCCAAACTCTGACGTGAAGTAAAAAAAGTGATGGCAGTGTTAGAAATTTATATGTATTCAAAACATTAAAACCAAGAACTTTCTTAATAATAAGTAGATGTGGTGAGTACAGTAAGTATATTGTGTGTTGTCTTTTTAAACTTTTTTTTCTGAAGAAGGATATTTTAAAAATTTGACTTTTCCAGAGTAGGCTGCTGAAACTAAGTAGAGAGCTAGCCCAAACAGAAATCATTTATGTTTTTCCATGTTTCACATTTGTGGTTGTGTGTATCTAGAGGACAAAATGATTTGGCTTTATTTGCTAAATTACTGCTTTATTGACACAGCACTTGTGTCTCTTATTTTCTCAGAAACTGTTCCATGGAACTCCTGTTACAATTGAAAATTTCTTGAGTTGGAAGGCCAAGTTTGATGTGGAACTCCTGGAAATTAAAAAGAAAAGGATGAAAGAAGAAGAACAAGCAGGGAAAAATAAGCTAAGTGGTATGGTGCCTCCCCGGCATAGTCATTCCTGCCACCCCACACCACGTGCCATTTCCTGACAGCAAAGATGATTGGGACGGATTTCCGTAACAAACGTGCCTCTTCACACAGTTGATAGTTACTGTTTGCAGTATAGCTTTGTTTGGTATTTAATCTGGATCCTGAGATACGAATCTTGAGGACCAAAAGCCCTCAGAGTGACACAATTGAACCCATAGTTTTCCAGGCCTGCGGAACCTAGGCTTTTGGTTGTTTTTTGTTTTAGTGTGAATACCTGTCTTGCACTCTACGCTGCTGCACAGTTCATAAATGTATTAGAATTCCCAGAAACACAGATGTTGTTCAGATTTGTTTTCTTGAAGTCTTTATCCTTTTAAATGATTTTAGGAGATGAAGGAATGCTATGCCATTTGAATTAAGCATATTTATTTCTTTTAGGGAAACAGTTATTTGAAACAGATCATAATCTTGACACATCTGATATCCAGTTCCTGGAGGACGGTAAGATACACTTCCTCATGGATGTAATGTGTCATCTTCTAGTCTCTGAAAAGCAGGATAATATTTTTATTTAGTGTGAAGATTTCCTACCAAACTTGTTAAAAAAACACATTTTGAACATAAGGTTTAGTAGTGAATCAATTGATATGTTCAATCTATTAAATTGTATAGCAATGTGTGCTTTTTAAGTTTTCTGATGACTTAAGTATCTCAAGGGCTGCAGTTACAGTACATGAGCCTCTGTTAGCTAGAAAACTGGGACAGCATGGTTCAGGTGGCCATTTTCCTCAAAAGTCTGTATCTCAAATGTAGGAGAAGCAAATTCACCATCTGCTCTGGGTGTAGAGAAGCCCATATGGAGCTCCCAGCACCCCCTGCTGGGTAGCTGGCCATTCCTCTTGCTATACAGCTGTGGGGTATCTTGTCTGTGCACTTTTCCCTTTTGCTCCTACCCTTACCCCCTTGGTTCTTTATGCTTTTACCAGCTACCCATCCTCAGATGTGTATTGTTCTGTCCTTCTACACACTCTGCACACAGCAAAGAGCAGTACGGACCATTCCCTGCCTTATGCAGCTGATGGCCTGCTTGTGTTTTCAGACTGGCTTCCGTGCTTATCACATCTTGTCACAGTAGCATCTTTTTGGGGTTGTACACCTCATTACACCTCTTGTGTCCACCTTGTCCTTTGGAGTTCTCTAGGTTTGGCTCTCAAACATGCCTTGGATATCTGCTGGAGAGAGGTAGATGCTGTTGATGTGGTTTATTGCTAAATCATTCTTCTTAACCTTGCAGGGATCTTTATTGGCACTCATCCCCTTCCTATTTTTGGTATTAAGAGTGGAACCCAGGCCCTTGTGCATGCTTGTAAATGTATAGCTCTATCATCGAGCTATACAGTCCTCAATATTTTTTCTCAAATTTATATTATTACCTTCTCTAGCAGATAAGTGAAGATTTTTATTTTTATGATCTAAAACACAAAACCCGAAGCCGGGCATGGTGGCTCTCTACCTGTAATCTGTGTACATGGAGACTAAACAAATTTGTCTCAGTTTGAGACTATTCTGTTCTACACTGTGAGTTATAGGCCAGTGTCGGCTACAGAGTGAGACTCTCACACAAACCAAAAAGTCAGAAACTAGGATATTCTCTGTTTTGCTGAGGAATTCCAGCTCCCTAAAGCCTCACCTCATTCTCTTGTGCTTTAGAAACTTTATTAGCTTTTCTTTTCTGCTCCCTCCCACTCTCCCTCTCTCCCTCCCTCCCTCCCTCTCTTCCTCCCTTCTTCCCTTCCTTTGTTCCTTCCTTCCTTCCACAGTGTCTCACTGTATAGCAATAGCTGGCCTGGAACTTGCTGCATAGATCAGGCTGGCTTTGAACTCACAGACATTCCCCTGCTTCTGCCTCTGAGTGCCGAAATTAGAAGCATGCTCCAACATGCTTGGCTTCACTTATTTCTGACTCCTTCTTCTCATAGATCAGGGTATCTCTTCATATCTGGTAGATTTCCCCAAAGACCTGTTAAGTCTATCTTGGATGTATCTCCCAGGAATTCCCTTTTCTCACTTGGAGGTTTTATTATTTTTTGCCTGTACTTTTATTGTAGCCACCTGAATCATTTCTCTGAATCTTTCTCTTCTTTTTTTTCTTCTTAAAGGCTTATTTATTTTATGCGTGTGAGTGTTTGACCGCATGTATATGTGTGCAGTGCATGTGTACTTAGTGGCCATGGAGTCCAGAAGAGGGTGGTGCATCCCCTGAAGACGGTGTTACAGCTAACCATCTGTAACTCCATGTGTGAGCCACCATGTGGGTGTTGGGAATTGAATTTGGGTCCTCTGGAAGAGCAGCCAGTGCTCTTATTGTCTCTCCAGCCCCTGAGTCTCTTTTCTCCTTCTCAGAGCCTTGACTGTTTTGTAGTTACTGCTTCTGAGAAGGAGAGACTCATACTTAATCATAAAACTTTAGAATTTTCTGATGGGAACTACCCAGTGCCTCTTAGTGTGGCCTTACCTGTGTTACTTCCAGGTATTTTTCCTCAAGAATCTTGTCTTCTAATTAGAAGTATCAAGAGATTATTTTTTTTCCTCTGTGTTTTGTATACTTCCAGAATTATTTCTTTCTGACCTGTGTGTTCTGATGGGTTCAAATATTCCCTGAAGATATTCGAGAAATTTTCACTAGGCCCAAGTCAATTATTCTTTGGCCTGAATTTAGTACACTATACTTTTCTTTCTGATTTGAGCCTATCCTTTAACAGCTGAGCCATCTTCCAGCCCTGTAGTTTTATTTCCGAACTGCTCAACATTCTTTTTTTTTTTTTTTTCTTGTTGGATTGAATTTCAGTAAGCTAGACTCTAAGAGAGAAGGAAGATAACATTTGTGCAGATCCAGGAGTGCCGTGGTACCCTGCTCTACTCCAGGTCATCTGCAGGGTGGTTTTGCTAAGGCATAGCCTGGCCAGTGAAGGTTAGAGTTCTGTTGCTGGAATCTCTGATCGACTTAGGAAGGATTTGCACTGGTGGTCTGGAGTCCTCATGCAGCCCCTCCTCACACTCTCACATCAGTTGTGTTTTTTCTGGAGTGTAAGGTGACTCTGTGTTCCTCTTTACAGCTGGGAACAGTGTGGAGGTGGATGAGTCCTTGTTCCAGGACATGGAGGACTTGGAGCTGGAGGATGGTGAGGATGACCCTGACTACAATCCTGCTGCCCCAGGGAGCGACTCAGACTGACGCACTGTCCCTGTCTCCAGAGAGGCGTGGCCGCCACAGCATCTGTGGCGATGCTTAGAGGGTTTACATCTTCCTTTTTTTTTTTTTTTCTAAGAAAAGACATATTATTCAGGAGAATATTCTTCTGATAGCTTTCATCATTGAACTTAATAAACTGCCCATAAAATTTCAAATATAAAATGTTTACTTCCTCTTACTGATGAAGTTTAGATATTTTAAATCATTTAGTGTTGAAGAGAAGTCCTCCCTGTATCACTTATGTAGGCTTCTGCTGTAAATTCGTGGGTTTACAAATGAGGAATTGGCATAATTCAGGATTTCCATGTGGGAGTTGGTGGTTATTTTGGATTCCAAGTGTCTTATAAGACGTCTCGAGTGAATAGAACAGTAACCTGGTCTCCAGGCGCATGGCACAATAATTGAGTCTTAACAAAGTTAGAAGCTCAAATATTATGTGTGGAGGAATAAAATGGACTTTATTACAGTGGTGGCAGCATTTGAGTCACACTTTGAAGGTTTTGAGGAATACGCTCTTGAGCCCTTCCCTAGTTAGAGCCACAAACGGCAGGTCCCAACCTGATTTAAAACAGTTCAGACTGATTACAGCAGGTCTGGAGGTTTTCTAACATACATTTCTGATTGAGCCTCTGACCTGTTGGTTTGTCTTACCTGGTTAGGGTTTCCTGCCAGTTAACTAGTCCCAAGGGTCTGTTGGGACTGTTCATTATTCGAAGAGAGATATGTCCTTATACATGCATATGGGATGCTGTCTTCATATTAAATTGAAATGGTTGGTTGGGGCATCAGGTAGGAGAGCCAAGCTTTCTGCAAATTGTCTACTCATTATGGTTTTAGACAATTAAGACCTGACTGAAAATCACTTGTGCTATTTCAAGTACCCATCTTCCATTAAAAATATGTCTTTGTTACATATCCACAAATGCAGTGTCAACCTCGCAGTTATTTTTGGAGTGAGACTTATGATTAAAATCAAAGTATTTAAAACTATCATGCTGAGTGGTGATGTTCTCCTTTAATCCCAGAACTTGGGAGTCAGAGGCAGGAGGATCTCTATCTTGGAAACCAGCTTGGTCTACAGAGCGAGTGAGTTCCAGGATAGCCAGGGCTACACAGAGATACCCTGTCTCAAAAAACAAAGACAAAACCACCAAAAAGAAATAAACTGTCATGGAATTTAGTACTTTTTGAAGATATATTTTGCTTGGTTTTGATGCCAGGTGGCCCCACCAACTTCCATCATTTCTGTGTAGAGAGAGCCAAAAGTTTTTGTTATATTTTATCTTTTTTTTAAAAAAGAGACTTAGAAGCTGATTAGTAGATATGTAAGAACCTGGAGAAGCTGTTCAATTAGGGTTAACAAAGCAGTGAGAAACAATCTGCAAAGGTCAGATCCCTGACCTAGACGTGCCAAGGAGTCTCTTCAGATGTTTTGAAGTGGTTTTCACCTTAGTCATACCAGACTGTAGGGAAAGCAAATGATAAGAAGACAACCTGGCTCATTCTAGTGACACTTCAAGATTTCATGAGAATATAAATCACAGTTGGATTTATATTCTGGGAATGAACCCACAATTCCACTTGTGCAACAAACAGACTGACCAGTGGCGTTGGAAGTAATTTGTGATCACTTGGTGTGGGAAAACTTCTGTCCCCCCCCCCCCGCCCCATCTACTTGTGCCAAGTGATATCAAAATATTAGTAGAATAAAAAAGCAAGTACATTCTGGGTTCTTGTGGCACAGAGGAGCCCTGGGTAGGGAATGTGTGAATTACGGGAAGATTGAGATTCTCATAAGAGGTCAAGTCAGTTTTCTCTTTATACCAAAATCATTGAATAAAATCCTCATCCTGAGTCCTCATTCCTTTGTGCTCTTTTGACAGCAGGAATCCTTATTGACAAGCTGAGGAAGTGCTGATCGAAGGAAGTACATAAAGGCTTAATTGAATTTGTTAGTTGAGCTCAAAGTAAATGGAAGGGTCCGTGTCATCTCATTGAGAAGAAGAGTTCATTATCCTTCACAAACTGTACAAATATATGTGTCAAGCAGCCAAAGATGAGCTCTTAAATTCCAGAAGATGCACGAAGACTGTTAGTATGTGCTACCCGTTGTTGGTGCTATAAGCTGCAGGTGGAAGGGGGAGGAGCTACCTGACATCACATCATGTGTTTGTCATTACATAGGTACTCTGTGTCAGGTAGGAAAGCAAGGCAGCAGTCCTGTCATGACGATCGCACACTTACGCTGAGTAACTGGGAAGGGGCTGTCGGCTGGGGGTGAAGCCTCTCCAGAGTGACACATGCAGTGTGTGTTCAGGTGGGTGGTGTAGCTCGTCCTGCAGTGTGTGTACAGCCAGGAGGCACTAGCTTCTTCGGGATGTGTACAGGAGGGTGGTATTAGTCACTGTCAGAGCAGCAGACACGGGTGCTGCCAAGGAGATAGTGAGTGGTCATGCTACTGTTCAGGTGAAAGTTCAAGTGACCTATTTGTCAACTTAGTTGTATCAAAAAATGGCTAATGGCATTGTTTTGTTAAGACACATTCATCAAAGGACTTTTTTTTTTATCATCAAAGAAAAATGGCCTACGCTGATTTTCCTTTTATATCTAGAACTTATTTTGCATTCTCCTATGAGAATGACTGATCTGCCACCCAATTCTCGTCCTTGATCCAACCTGTGGTAATTGCATTGACACTATAGATCTGCAGTTTAAAACACACTGATTTGGTTTCCAGTTGTTTACTGGGAACAATCACTTAAAAGTTCCATTCAGTACACTGATAACGCTGGGCAGCTGCTGTGTGCCATTTGTCTTTTGTGTTAATTCTTTTTTTCCTGTTCTCCATGAAGAGACATATGCAGCTCAGTCTGAAGTTTTACTTTGTGATTAGAACCTTATGCACTTTCAGCCAGCACAACAAATGTGTTTAATAATGTACGAAATTTTCAGTTGGTGCCCAGTACAGGCCAACATAGTGGCACAGTCCATAGTCCTGAATTATAATTTTATTTATTTATTTATTTTTAATTTTATTTTTTTTACTTTTTAAATATTAATTACAGTTTATTAACTTTGTATCCCAGCTGTAGCCTGCTCCCTCATTCCCTCCCAATCCTACCCTCCCTCCCTCATCTCCCTGCCCCGTTCCAAGTCCACACATAGGGGAGATCTCCTCCCCTTCCATCTGACCCTAGCTTATCAGGTCTGAATTATAATTTTAAATTGTGTCGTTTTTTCCTTAAGTGTGTAATCTGGGTAAATATTTCAGGAAAACTGAACCAGAGGTGAAGAAAGTACACAGAAAAGGAGGTAGAGAGAATAAGAGAGGCAGACTGACAAATAATGTTGGAAAAGCATGGCCTTGCGAAGATAGCAAGTTAGGAGAAGGAGGTAGTGGTTTCTAGAGAAGGCAGACAGAACTGGGTAGGGGTGTTACTGGACATTTCTTGTGTTACTGTTCTTGGTGTTGTCTCATTGCACAAAGATGGAGAGCATTTGCCTTGGAAAGGCTCTATGGTGAGCATCAGGCTTTTGACTCTCAGACAACCAATAGCACACAGTGGGATCCACTGCAGTCAGAAATTTTATGTTGTTTGTTTGTTTGTTTGTTTTTTAATTTGAAAAAGGTTAAGGGATAAGCTGGGCAGTGTTGACACTCAGGAGGCAGAAGCAGGTGGATCTCTGTGAGTTCGAGGCCAGCCTGATCTACAGAGCAAGTTCCAGGCTAGCCAGAGTTACATAGAGAAAACCTGTCCTGGGAGGAGGATTGGAGAAGGTTAAGGTTAAATACTGTACAAAAAGAAGAGCTTCAAAACTACTTCATGATATACCAGTACACTGAAACTCTAGACTTAAAGGCAACAGCAGAATCAGTGACTGGAAAATGGGAAGTAGCTGGATGGTTTTTGTATTTCAGTCAAAGTCACTTGTTATCAACTAATTTTATGGATTGCAAGGCTCTGAACATTTGTTTTTGGGAAGGTTGGGGCTTTAATCTTTCTGTCATTGGTTCTTGATTGATAATGAGCCTGCGCCTTGAACATAGTCTTGAAACTAAGCACAAAGGGCAAACAAGATAGTGAAGATTTGATTCTTAATGTCTTAACTCACCAGTGCTGTCTGACTCATTTCTTCACATAAATATACATGATTCAGTTGTGAAGACTGGGAGATTTTATAGTGAGTAAAAGACTTTGCCTCACAAGTATGAAGACTGAGTTGGATCCCCAGAACCCTGGTAAAGCCAGACATGGTAGTACATGTATCCCCGGCGTTTCTGTAGAGAGATGGGAGGTAGAGAAAGGAGAATATGAAGCTTGTAGGCCAGTTAGCCTGATGTGTGTAGTCTGAACAGGACTGTCATGGTAGAAGGTGATAGCTAACATCTGTCTGACTCCCTGACTGTCCTCTGACTCCCATACATGTGCTGTGGCATGCACATGCCCTGTCAGCATACACATATGTATTCATACACGCTCTACACATGCAAAGGTTTTGGTTTTTTTTTTTTTTTTTTTTTTTTTTTTTGTCTGGTTTTGTTTTTTGAAACAGGGTTCTGTGTGTAGTCCTGGCTGTCCTGGAATTTGCTCTGTAGACCAGGCTGGCCTTGAACTCAGAGATCTGCCCACCTCTACCTCCTGACTGCTGGGATTAAAGTTGTGTCCACTACCACCTAGCTTTGCAAGTGTTTTTAAAAAGAAGATATATGGTTGTCTTAAATGATGAAAAGTGGTGAGAACTGGACTAACAACTGTGGAGTGTGATAAAGTCATTGAATGTGTGATCCTTAGCTTCCTCCTCTGTAAAGGAGAGATAATGAATAATTCATTTTTCAGAAAATAAAATTGAAGGCTGTAAAAGAAGTCTCTGTGGTCAAGACTCTTGTTTGTGCTTCTAGGGGGCCTGAGTTCAGTCTCCAGCACCTGAATGTAGCAACTCACCTGTAATTCCAGCTCCCTCTTCTGACTACTGTAGGTCCTGCACTCACCCCACCACACCTATTAACAGAATTCAAAAGAAATAAAAACTGGCCATCTGCTCTGAGATGGGTGTTTAGCAGTGAAAGGTTTCACAGGTCTTTACCTATGAGTCCTTCCCATTCCACCATGTTAAATTACCATGAGGAAGTAAGTATACTTCCTTTCTGCCATTACTACATAAAAAACAAGCAAAACCTAGGCAAACACTGAGAGATTGCTGATCAAAGCGGCTCCTCTCTTCCTTCAGCTACAGTGCACAGCTCGTGCCCTCTGCCTGTGTCTAGAACATCAAGCCTTTATTTTAAATACTTCTGAGGAGCAGAATAGAGATGTCTTAAGTGCCCTCTTGATCGCTATGGCCTGAGTCTCAATGGCTTTTCCTTTGCTCAGTGGTACTTCCTTTACTCTCATAGATGCTGCTTCCCTAAAATATTCCTGTCTGCTTCCTGGGGAATCCCAACCTAAAACACCTAACACAGCAGCTTAAAGATGGCTGCTTGAGTCGTGCACTCTCCAGCTAGGACTTCACTTCTTCCCGGACAAGGTATGTCAGGGTATCGGTGTGCTCCTTTCAGTGCTGTGCAGTCTCAGAGACCTGCACACTTACCTAGTAGTCCTCATAGCCAAACTTTGGGCAGAATGCAGGTAATCTTATGAAAGAAGGCGGAGATAGAATGACCTGGAGGGGACAGGAGCTCCACAAGGAGAGCAACAGATCCAAAAAATCTGGGCACGGGTCTTTTCTGAGACTGATACTCCAACCAAGGACCATGCATGGACATAACTTAGAACCCCTGCACAGATGTAGCCCATGGCAACTCAGTGTCCAAGTGGGTTTCCTAGTAATGGGAACAGGGACTGTCTCTGACATGAACTCAGTGGCTGGCTCTTTGATCACTTCCTACCGATGGGGGGAGCAGCCTTGCCAGGCCACAGAGGAAAACAATGCAGCTAGTCCTGATGAGACCTGATAGGCTAGGGTCAGAGGGAAGGGGAGGAGGACCTCTCCTATCAGTGGACTTGGGGAGGGGCATAAGAGGAGATGAGGTAGGGAGGGTGTGATTGGGAGGGGATGAGGGAAAGGGCTACAGTGGGGATACAAAGTGAATAAACTAATTTATAAAAAAATAAATTGAAAAAATATGTACAAAAAAAGTTCTATCTGCATCTAAGATTGGTTCTAGCACGTTCTGTTTGTTGTTCTCATCATGTTAGTTCAAGGACCCTGATATTTACTGCAATGGCAAATGTTTCTGCCTTCATAGCTGTCATGGAACTCAGCATCTACAACTACCACTGCCATGCTTACCCCTAGTACCATTACCATGATTACTGGCAGCTTTAACTAGTGCTTATAACACTGGTTTAGTTACTGTTTCTTCTTTACTATTACCTAGCTCTTAATTCAATAGTAACCCCTGTGAGGATATGTGGTCCACTATAGAGTCTGATGAACAGAGGGAACCCTAGCCACAAGATCTAGAGAAGCACTTTCTTCACCAGACCAATAAGCTCAATTCTTGGATTAGAAAAGGCAGGAATAAGAATTGGGAGTGTCATGTCACAGCAGCAAGAAATAAAGCATCTGTTGACTTTGTCAGAGTTGGAAGGAACAGAGCCAGCCTTAATCTGCTATATAGAGAGGAGTGTAAGAGAATTTTCAAATTATCAGAAAATACAGATGCTGAGCTGAAACAGTTGTCTGACGATCTCGAGGATATGGTTCACCTGAATTCACTAGAAAGACGTGGCACAGCTGAACCCTCTCAACAGATCTGCAAAATTCTCAATCATAAGGAATCCGCTGTAGCTCAGTCAGAACACATGCATGATGCAGAAGACAGAAGAGGTAACAGGTTTCTGAGTTACCATCACAAGGTGCAAGAATTCAGTATGAACACTGCCTTTGAGTAATCAACTAAAGCTATTAACCAGGAACCCTGGTGGTATTACAGTAGTGTTTACAGATACTTCTTAATCTTTGATTGCAATAAAATGTGTGCATGTTTGAATCTGTAAGTGCTGTGAGGAGAAAGACACTACAGCTAAGTAGAAGCTCTGTCATCATCGTTGTGTAGGCAGTTACCTACTAGGCATTGATTTTGTGTGCATAATAAATGTACATACCCTCTCCCTAGGTTTGTTCTGTACCTTGGTAGTGGTGCACACCTACTCATTGAGGCTGAACTGTGGGACTATGTCTCCAGAAAAGTACACACCAACCAGTCCTTACTGCATGCTCGTTATAGTTTCTGCAAAGTGCTGCTAGATACTAGGAAGTCTCAAATGGAATTAATCGTCTGTTTTCAGATTAATTCCTTGGCATATAATTCTTTTCTGTGGAAAAAGAGTATTGGCAAGTAGTGTGTTAGGAGTTACAGAAAGTGGGTTGCAAGAATTTTGAGAACGTTTTTAGCAGATATGGAACTTGAGTTAGGGCATTGAAAAGAATGGTTGTACCAGTCAAACCCTGAGCTTACTACATGTAGGGTCAGTGCTGCACTTTGGACTATCCACCCATCATAGAACTGAGATATTTTTAAGGGCAAGGCTCAGGTAATTCTGTTCTGTTTTTTCTTTTTAATTGTGTACATTAGTATCTAGGATGCCTTAGAACTTGCAATCCTTCAGCCTCAGTTCTCTGAGTGAAGAGAGTAGGTGTGTGCTGCCACATGTGGCTAGCCTGATGTTTGGATTATGATTTATAGCCATTGAGTTTTACATAACTGTATTTTTCAAGAAAAACCCTGTTGTTTGGCACATTTTGATTTGTGTTCCATATAATGTGTGCTATTAAAATTTTAGATACGTAAAAGTTAAACAAAACAAAACAAAACACCATACTGACTCAATCTCAATAGCAAAAGACAGTAGAACTGACAGGGAAGTTTGTTGGGGATGGTTCTCAGCTTGCATGCTTGGTGACTTCTCACAAACCATGCTGTGCTAGGCTGAGTGGATCTGAACAGCTCTGGTAATGTGTGGGCACACTTCTGGATGTCCTCTTGGTGTAACCATGCTGGCTAGTAGTCCCAAATCCTGTGCAGGCTTTTAATGTGCTGGGTATTATTTGCTGGGAACAGGCCAAATGTAGCTGAGTGTAGACTATATATATATACCCAAGCTTGTGTTGCGGTTTTGGTAATCACTGTTAGAACAGAATTACTGAACAAACTAAGGAAAGATTTTACTGACATACTAACACGTAGTGAAATGTGTTAGGATGTTTTCAGCATTTAATAGTTATCATCTCTTATAGCTTTTCTAGACAGAAGATTCTTTATGAATTCAGAGTAATTGAACATATATTACCAACAGTTACACTATCTAAAATTAAGAATCTTGACAGCCCTGGTGTTGGCAAGAGTGTGAAGCGGCTGGAACTTCCCCAGCAATGCTGAAGTGAAATACAGTATGATGGAAAATGAGGCACCATTCATCTGCTCCATGAGACAGAAGATTTAAGTGTTTTTGCAGGAGACTTAGAAATCTCAAATTAAATTCTATTCAAGACTATTGGTAGCAACTTTATTCAGAAAAGTCCAAACTGGAAACAACCTAAATGTTATTAGCAGGTGAGTAAATGAAGAAGTTGTGTTATTTATATGTGATAGAATACTGCTCAGCAATGAAAAAGAACACCCTGAGTTAATTAGAAATAGATGAATCTTAACAATATTATGAGTAGCAAAATGGTGCCATTTTTATAAAGTTTCAGAACAGGAGGTCCTATGTTAAAATGAAAGATCACATTGCTTATGAGGTAGAAGAAATTGACTGAAAGCTGGGTTGGTAGAAGTATGTATTTTACAAAATCTGTCAGTGCGTTAATAAATTAGACCCCAACTTAAACAATATTGTGAAAGAGAAAAGTCCAAATAAAAGATTGAGTATACACCATGGCTAAGAACTGTCTTTTCATAGTACAGAGCTCTACTGTTTGTGTTAGATGATTAAAAGGGCCAAGGCCATCTACTGGAGAATATGGCAGAATCAAAAGTCCACTGAGTATGTTGAATGAGAGTACCAGGCAAATTCCATTGTTACCAGATGTAGTTGTCAGTGTCATGTAAGAGACACCCATATGACTGTCCAGGTAGAATGAGGCACATTTTAGTAAAGATCAAGAAGACAGGACACAGATCAAAATGGATGCTCCTGCCTCTGCTGACATGTGGATGCTAAGCTTTCTTTGAGGCCTATGATCTCATGGGATATAAGAAGAATTTATTAAGACGGGAGAAATAGTCCTAATGGGACTGAAATTGTGTTGATACTTATCTGGGATCAATGGGTAACAGTGGACAACCTTTGAGTTTAGCATACTGTTTTTGTGATGGGTTGAGAATCTCAGAAAGATGGTTGGACAGAAAGTAACTCCTTGCTCCATGGCAGGAATGTTGACTGCTTATGGGAAAATTAAATGCAATAAAATAATTGAAGCCTAAGATTTAAATTGGATTCAGCTCTAGGAGTGGCTTCTAGGGCACAAATTAGTATGAGCTAAGGTTTCCAAAAACAAAACCATACCTATGTTAAAAGTACTACAAAACCAATTGACTGATGAGAACTTTATGATTATGGAGAGTTGGAAAGATGCAGATCTACAGCCAAACTTGTCTTTGACTGATGTTAGTCATTTTAGTAGCCATTTGTCAACTCTGTTTGGATCTGAGTTATCATCTTGTCAAACATCAGGTACAACTTTGGGAATGTATTATGTCAACAGATCATTAAAATTGCCATTGAATAAGATCTAAAACCTTTATGGATCCCCTGCTTTGCTGCAGCGTACCGCCTGTTTCTACTAATATGTTGGAGACATAACCTGTGGCTTTCTGTTCTGTGACTATAGAAAGTTCATGGAACAGCTTCTCTGTTGG